CTGCCAAGCAGTTTTTCGTTTTGTTAATTATTTAGTAGTTTTATGTCTCATTGCTTATTTTTTGCTTTACAAATAAATAACAGAATATGTGTGTCTGCCATGGGGTGTTGATCACTCTACAAGTGTCTTGATGGCGGTCAGGAGATGTATTTAGGACTACTGGAGAGCCGCGTTACAAATCTTACAAGGTTAATTGCTTGGAACTTGAAATGCACATCCCCATGGAAATGCTCTGCACGGTGGTTATGACCACAACTCATAGTCAACTTCCATGGGTCAGATAGCAATACACTCTGATGGGCATTTCAAGGCACCCGGAGTTTCCCATCTGAACGTGAGAATCCACCCCACACTATCGGAACTCTGGAGCAGCAGCAAATAGGTTGGTAAGCAGCATTCCGTTTCTTCCAGCAGGGAAAGAAGGGAGACAATACAGATCCTAGGTATCCCCAACTGGGCCCTTGACTAGATAACAGTAGGGCACTCTGTCTTATACACCAATGAGGACAGTCCAGAGGGGACAATCTAGTGGGGATGGTTTCTAAAAAGTGTGCCTTTCTCTGAAGTTATCAGGACAAAAAAGAAAAGCACAAGGTCTATCTACCATATTTTTCTGAAGCAGTCGATTTTCTAAGTAGAAAAACATGAAATACCCTATGGATTTATTGATACAAAGGCTTACCTCTACTCTTTCTGCAACCCACTCAAAATTTTTCTTGACCATCTTCAGCCCTTCAGGAGTTACTTCTTTGAGGTCACGATAGGACTACAAAACAAGGCAGACAGTTCAGAAGGCAAGTATCTGAAATTAGGTAGCTTTTGACTTTGGGGTAGGGATTATCTAGGTATCATGAAGTGTTTGGCTACAGGAGGCATTTGAACCTACAGGCTCACTTCTGGGACTAGACTAAAGAGCATTCAGATAGTGAGTTATAGGAGTATTTTCATTTAATGGTGAGTGTTTCTGACTCCAGCAATTACAACGAACACAGAATTTTTATATGTTGAGCAGGGGTGCTCAAACTTTTTAAATGAGGTTCCTATCGGAGGGATTCACAAATGCCTTCACTCACTCTCCCATTATTCCTTTCTTCACCAAGCCAGGACAGCCTTGTGATCAATAAGAAATCAGAAGCATCACCTGTTTGTCCTTCTGTTGGCTTCGATCTCCAGATGGCCAGAGTCTCCAGGAATCGTTATCAATAACATCAGCAAGAATAATTTCTTTGGTGGTTACATCAACACCAAATTCAATCTGGAAACAGCACACCACCAAAGAAACATGTAAAAAGACCACACGACGGAAGGCAACGCTCA